ATTATTTTAATTTTATTTTTTTTTTAGTTTTTTTTAGTATTATTATCCCCCAACTTTTCTTTAATTTTTTATTGTTTTTTCATTTTTTATTCATTTTTTTATTGTTTTTCTTTTTTTTTCTATTGTTTTTTAAATTTTCCCCCTTCCGATATTTTTTTTATTGATTTTTTTCTTTTAAATTTCCCCCCACGATATTTTTATTATTGTTTTTTTTATTGATTTATTTTTTTTTAAATTCCCCCGATATTTTTTATTATTATTTTTATTATCTTTTTTACGTTCCTTTTTTTTATTTTCTTTTTATTTTCTTTTAGTTTTATCTTTATTTTTTCTTTCTTAACAAAAATAATAATAAAAAAAATAAAAATAAAAAATAATTAAAATAAAAGATTTCATCAGATCTCAGCGATATGTGGGAGTTTTGCGAGTTACGAACATAATAAATCATATGATCTGTAATGTGATTTTAATAGCTTACCTCCCATGTTTGTTTTTTATATCACGTCACGATTTTTGTTTATTGTTTTTCTACTTTCGGTGATCAGCAGTTGCACAACCCGTTTGAGGAGGCAGCGTGACTTTTTGGTTAGTGAAGCTACTGGCGTAATATATTATAGGGGACTAGCAATTCTACTTGGGCAATATCTCAGGATCGCTTCGCGATAAAAAAAGGTAAAGATTTAACAAAACTAAGATAGTTTGGGTTTGTTTTGGTTGGGTTGTAGTTGAAATTGGAGTTGATTTGGTTAAAATTAGATTAGGATGATTAGATTCAGAGATATGATTGAATTAGATTGGATTGGGTTGGATTGTAATTAAATTGGTATATATTAATTAAAGTTATAATTAGGTTAAAATGAATTATATTATGTTAGAATAAAGTTTGGATTATAATTTAGCTATGATTTGGTTATAATTGGATTAGAATAAATATTTTAAAAATAATGTATTTTAAGATTTTATAGGTAACTTATATTTTACATAACAATAGACAATTTTTTATCTCCTATAGGTAATTAAACCTTGGCATCACCAGAATTTAATTCAAAATTTTCTCATGAATACTTTCTCAAAAATTGACTTTAAATCTGCTCAAGATCTTACCAACTTTCAAAGTATTTCAGCTTCCAGTAATCCAATTGGAGCAATATTTGATTGTTTTGAAGCTCTCTTAAGACTGTATCTGGTTGTCTTAAATTGGTATTTCTATGACCTTTAGATCACATGATTGCTTCACTTCAAGGATTTTAAGAATTTGCAGTTTAAATAATTTATTTAGAACACTTATAAGTAACTCGATTTTCTTACATATTAATATACAATTTTCTTACCTCCATTAGATTCCCAGATGTTAAAATTAGTATTCTGCACCATTATGTTTTGGACTGTTCCTTTTGCTTCAGTTCCGGTAGTTACACTTGCTTGAGATTCTTACGTGATGAACCTCAAAATAATTGCTTTCAGTTATTTCTAAATATCACAGGATCAAATGATTGGATCAGAATGAATTTAGTTTTATTTGAAAGATAAGAATCTTTCGAATCTGTATATAAAATTTTATAGGAACCGGACTTTCAGATGGTGAGATATTCACGTTCAAAGTTCGTCACAACAAAACCGTTTTTTTGTTTTTTACAAACTCTTCAAAGCTATTTCATTTTCTTACATATTAATATACAGTTTTCTCACTTCCTTTAGGTTTCCAGATGGTAAACTTAGTGTACTGCATCATTACTTTTTGAACAGTTCCTTTTGCTTCGATTCTGGTATTCACACCTGCTTGAGATTCTTCCGTGATGATTCTCAAAATAATTGCTTTCAGTTATTCTCAAATATCTCTTGATTGAGTGATT